TAAATTATCATTATCTTAAATATTATGATTGTATAGTATGACAAGAAATGTAACCTTAATTAAAACAACTGTTAGCATCAATAAGAGAGCCCATTAGTGGGAAAGAATATAGGATAAATAACTTTTAAAAATCCACAGTCCACAGCTTCTCTTTATATTACCATAAGCAGATTAAAAAAATGAAATAGATAAAGAGTCCCATTTAAAACAATGTTTAACAAACAAGGTTTATTGTTTCATTTAGCACTAAACATTTTTCCTGAGACAAGAACACAGATTTAAAACTTTTTTTAATTTTAGGGGTGCCTGGGTGGCTCGGTCAGTGAAGTGTCCAACTTCAGCTCAGGTCATGAACTCACAGCACATGTTTATGAGCCCCATGTCGTGTCAGGCTGTGTTCTGACAGCTCAGAGCCTGGAGCCTGCTTCCCATTCTGTGTCTCCCTCTCTCTCTGCCCCTCCCCCACTTGCACTCATTCTGTCTCTTAAAAATAAATAAAACATAAAAAAAAGAAATTAAAAAAATTTTTTTAATCTTAGAAGTACTAAGATATATTAATTAGTACTGGGGCATTGGGTGGCTCAATCAGTTAAGCATGTGACTCTTGATTTCAGCTCAGGTCATTATCTCATGGGTTTGTTGGATCGAGCCCCACATCAGGCTGTGCACTGACAGTGTGGGGTCTGCTTGGGATTCTCTCTCTCTCTCCCCCTCTCTCTTTGCCCCTCCCCCACTCATACTCACATGCTCTCTCGCTCTCTCTCAAAAATAAATAAACTTTTTAAAAAAGTACTAATATATAAACAAATAAAGGTCCCATTATTAAATAGTTCACCCTATCTACTCTACCTGAGTATATAATCATAGTTATGTAAAGCTAAAATAAATCACAAAGCAAACATTCCAAGTTTGGGAGGTTGGTGGTTTCAAAACAGCACCACTTCATTTGATTATTATGTACAAGCATTAGACCATACTATAGTATAGATAACATGCTAAAAATTCTTTTCATATTGTATTATTTATGTTGCTAGAGAACAGTAGTATTACATCATTACCAAAATTGAAATTTACTTATTTTATATATATATATTATATAAACATATATATTTTATATATATATATAATATATATATATATATGTTTGATATATTTGATTAACACTGACCTCGCTTCCATTTCATTGCTATAAGATACAATTCTTGGTTTGTTAAGTATTTAGTCCCAAGGCTGGGGAAAAGAAGCACATGGTAGGTAGAGTACTCAGCTGAAAATATTCGGGGGAAAAAAAAAGATGTGTTATAAGATAGTTTTATCAAAATCCTTTCTAATTAAAAAGATCCTTCATTCTTTGCATTATCACAGAAAATAAGAAGGAGCTACATAGCATCATGCAGCATTAACCTTGAGAAAATTCACATTTAATCTTACTTTAGTATTGAACCAAACCAGGTTATTGGCACAATAAATAAGATGTCTTCAAATCTTTATTTCAGGGATCAACACTTATTTGTAAAATTAAAATAGGGAGAATAATATTACCTAAAATGAATTAAATACTATAATTAACTTTAAAAATTATAATTTGCAAGAAAGTTGAATAATATGTATTACATAATTAAAAGATAATTAAGGACAAGTTCCTTCACACATACCCACACACACATTTCCCTAAAGCTTTATAGATTTAATGGTTAGCTAATTGGGGTAGGGAGGAAATGAAAGTGTCCATTAAGAAATACTCAATCTCAGGGGCGCCTGGGTGGCGCAGTCGGTTAAGCGTCCGACTTCAGCCAGGTCACGATCTTGCGCTCCTTGAGTTCGAGCCCCGCGTCAGGCTCTGGGCTGATGGCTCAGAGCCTGGAGCCTGTTTCCGATTCTGTGTCTCCCTCTCTCTCTGCCCCTCCCCCGTTCATGCTCTGTCTCTCTCTGTCCCAAAAATAAATAAATGTTGAAAAAAAAATTAAAAAAAATAATAAATAAAATAAAATAAAGAAATACTCAATATCTTGGGGCACCTGGGTGGCTTAGTCCAACTCCTGACTTCGGCTCAGATCATGAGCTCTCCTCCTTGGGATTCTCTCTCTCTCTTTCTCTCTCTCTCTGCCCCTCCCCCACTCACATGTACTCCATCTCTCTCTCTCAAAATAAATAAACTTTAGGGGAAAAAAAGGAAATACTCGATCTCTAAATATGATTGCAAAATTGTCAGATTAATCATTCATTAGATAAAAATGTGTTGCATGCCTACTATTTTCTAGGTACTTATCATTGTGAGGCAGTAAAAAATACTGCACTGGGAAAGGACTTTTTAGATATTATTACATCTCAAATGTATTATGCAATATGCGGCTGAGAATTAATTATATTTAACACATTCAACATATAGAAAAAGATTCTGAGTAATCAAATCAATTATACCCTTGAGCAACTCGATTCTTTAAATTCCTCTCACTATTCCCTTGAGTTAATTTCTACACCAGGATTCTTTTCCAGTTCTAAAATAAGAGAATAAAGACATTTCCTACAGAAGACCTAATATAAAAGAAGAGAAATGTAAGAGAGGGGATACATTAGCTCTTAAATTCTTGTTTCCATTTGCTCTCAATAGCACTTCTAATGTTTCATTTTGTCTTCAAAGAAAATCTTGATTTAGAAGAACAAAAAGTACAATCATCTTCAACATCAAAACAAGTATATTGTTTAGTTCTTACTAAAGTTAGCAATAGATTGAAACTGAGGAAGAAACATTAAAACAAATCTTTATTCTAAGTTATATAATGCCACTCACCATAGTAATGGTCTGATACTTTGGTATATGACTTTGTAAAATAAATAGTACCAACAGGTAGAAAATTTTCCTTTGCTCTCTTAAGACAGTCCTTAGGGGAGTTTTTATCAGTGTTTGCTCATAACTTGAATGTTAATTTAAAGAAGTGTCACTTCTATTACCTAAATGATATATTTTCTAGAAAGGTGATTTAATTGGGAAGAGAAAAATGCCATATTGCTTCTTCCTCCCAAGAGGAAAGGATGCATTCCATTCCTGTGAACTCTCTTTGTCTCTCTCTGCCTCTGTCTCTGTCTCTTGGGTTCTGTGTCTCTATCTCTCTCTGCCCTTCCCCTGCTCACGTCCTCTCTCTCTCTCTCTCTCTCTCTCTCTATATATATATATATATATATACACATATATATATACATATACACACACATATACATACGCATACATGTCGATGGAGATATACATATCCGTATATGCATATGTATGCATATCTGTCCAACAAATGTTTGATTTTGAGATCTCTCTTCCTCTTCTTACTGATTCATTATGCTCAGTGTGATGACTTTAAAACTACTGCCTTTCACATTTCATTCATTCATCAATAAATAATTGAGTACCTGAATGTATTGAGTACCTTCTGCATGCTTAGCATTATATCAAATGTAAAGGAAGATACAAAATAAATATAAGCCAAGACCTTGCCCTCCAGAATCTTTTGATCTCTTCCAGGAGCAAGATAAAACGTGATATATCATTAAGTAATTCATATGACTAGTGCCAAAATCAAAGGTACAGGTAACATGCATTTTACATTTATGTAGAATTTTAGAGCTTCAAAACACTTTCCTGTATTTAATCCTCAGAACAGTCTTGTGAAGTACACATTATCAGCTCCACTTTAACAAGGAACTTGAAATTCATAATTTTAAGTGGCAGCCTTAATCAAATAGATTATGAGTGGAAGTCAAGACTTGAGCCAGGGTTTTCTTATTCTAAGTCCAGTGCTCTTTTCAATACAGCACAGGAAACCAAAGGCTGGGGTATTAACAGGAAAACAGCCAGCTTTCTGCTACAGATGGAATTGAACTAGATCTGATAGAATGTCAGGAAAACATAAAGCTATCTGAGCAGTGTCCAGCTAAATGTCCAGAATAATTTTATTCTGCAAATATTTGTACTTCAGTGTTATACACACACCACAACTACCATTTCCTTAGTTTTAGTGCATTTACCTCCTCAGTAAGAGATTTGCTCTCAGAAATGAGGATGTCAAATGTAACTAAAAAGCTGGCCTAGCAGGATCATATAAATCTTAAATCACAAATATATACCTTAAAGGTCTGGCTTCTACTAATCCTTACACATTTTGTTTCCCCTCAGCACCGGAGAGCATATCTCGCCCCTATCCTTTTCTAGCATTCTTGCTCCCAACAACCACTTATTTTAAGATGTCAGTAGCTGACCCTACCCCAAATTCCACAGGTTCACCCCAGTTTTGTCACTCCAGCCCCTGCCCACAACATCCCCCTCCCTCGCAATGGATAGAATACCTAGTTCCGGCTCTGCAGGTGCGGTCGGGATGCTGCACACAGCACTGACAGATAAGATATGACCTTTCGACTCCGTCCTTGGGGACCTCCCGCTGGCCGCGCAGCGTAGTTCCAACCCCGGCAAAGGGGCTCCCGGCTCGGGACCGCAGCCACCGGCAGCGCACGGTCCGAAGTGATGCCTCTGACAACTAGAACGACACTGGGCGCCGGGGCGTGCATCACTCCGCCCCATACTCCTGCCAACTGCAGGGGACTTGGTCCGGTAACCAGTCCATCCCACCCCGCAGGCGAGTCCGGGCCAGCCGGACCTCACGCAGGACCCCGACGACGGGTCGCTGGCAGCGGCGGCGGCAGCAAAAGCCACCCGCCCCCAGTGCCCATAGCCGCCAACCTAAGACCCCCTAGGCTGGACCGCAGAGAAGCGTTGCTATGGAAACCCCCTGAGGATCACGTGACGTCCTCGGATGACCAATCGCCTCTTAGCTCTGCCCGCGGCACCGCTTTCGGCCCTCCCTTCTGCCCCGCCCCCTCCCGCCCCCGCCTTCTTCGCCCAGCCCCGCCCCTTTCCTGCGGAGAGCCCGCGCCTGCGCACCGCATCGAGCGCGCTCCCTCCCTCGCGCGCGCTCCCCGGGGAAGAGTGGGGGCGGCGTAGGAGGCTAGAGAAGAGCATGAAGCTGAGGAGGAAGGAGCGCCGCCAGCGCGCAGGCCCAGAAGCGCCCGAGCCCCGGCTGCCGGCGACGCCCCAGAGCGGAAGAGGGAAGTGAAGGCGCCAGGCTGCGGGTTCCCGGTGGGTGGGCTACGCTTACCGAGGTAGAGGCAGCACCAACGAGAGGCTTTTGCCACCGGTCCGGATCGGGGATGTCGAAGAACACGGTGTCGTCGGCCCGGTTCCGGAAGGTGGACGTGGATGAGTACGACGAGAACAAGTTCGTGGACGAGGAAGACGGGGGCGACGGGCAGGCCGGGCCCGACGAAGGCGAGGTGGACTCCTGCCTGCGGCAATATCCTTGCGTTTGCCGGCCTCCGTACCCCACCGCGCCCCTCTCCCCGGACCCCGCCGCCGGCAGGGTCTGCGAAGCTGGGGCCGCTCCCGGGGCACGGGCGCGGAGCTCACCTGTCTGTTTGGGCTCCCCCACTCTGAGAGGGCAGGGGTCGCTCCCATTTCTAACCGAGTCGCCCCGGGACCCCAGGGTCCCGCCTGGGAAAGTTGCCCTTCCCGGCGCGCCTTCTCCGCCCCCGATTCCTCAGGTTGCGGCTGGAGTTGCTGCCTGCAGGGAACGGGCAGGGCGGCCGCGCCCTCGCGGCGCGGGGGGAGGCATCTGGTGCTGCTCTGTGGCCCTCGGAGGGCGCCTAAGTTGTCCTCCGCAGGACGGTGCCTGCTGGGGCCACGGTGGCTCCAGAAATTTCTGATTGGGAGGAAAGGGCTGCTTCTGTTCTGGTGGTTTGGTTTTGACAGCGTTGGGAGAGTTTATTCCTTGCCGGCAGGGAAGGGGCGATTTGCAGAATTGAGGCCCTCTGTCCTTTTAGCCCGTGGGCTTTTTTGCTTTTCTTTCTTCTTTTTCTTTTCTTTTTTTTTTTTTTTTAAGAGAAAGGAATTTGGCAACATATAGGTTGCAAGATAAACAATTTGCTAACCCGGGGAGGGGGGGTGAGTCCAAAGCAACCAACTCGGGCGAAGGAAGCTTGGAGCCTTTTACTTGCTAATAAGCAAGGGACAATAGAAAGAGCTTGCATGTGGAGAATCCCTGGAAATATTTAAAATAAACCCCAGCGAATAAAATAGATGAAGAATAAAATAGACGATGAGTCATTTGTACGAAGCAGAATGGTTTTTGTAATCCTGAAATCATTTCCATTTCAGTTAAAATGTGGCTGTCAGTTCCTGGTTTTTGTTTTTGCATATTTGAATATTCATAATTTGAACATTTGCACCAGATATTTTTTAGAAAAATGTAAATGTTGCACCGACTAAAGCTGTAGTTTTAGAGATTCTCAATTACTGAACTCATTCATTTCTGATTATTCTCTAATGTATTCGTAAGATAAGACTTTTTAAAACCCTTTCCTCATCTATATCCTATTAAAGTATAATGGGGAAATATGAGTGAAAATATTTGGTTCTAACTATATCTAGTCTTAAAGGCACCTAAAATACAGCATTAAACATTTATCAACATACAGATGTTTCTTTGATTTCCACAACCTTCATAGTCAGCTGTTGCTATTTTTCATTATTTAAATACTTAAATGTTTTGGGTCTTAAAAATGAGCCAATCTTGCAAAAGGCATGCTTTTTCTAGAAGTTCGTTAAGCCTTGAAAATAACAGCTTACCACCAACCCTAAGGCTTGTGTTTTTGGTTTTGGTTTTTTGTTTTTTTGTCAGACGATCCCCCCTCCCCCCCCCCCAGAAGCAATGAACATTATTCTGTCTGAAAACATTCTTTGTGATGGATAAATGATGTTTTGTGAAACTAACTGTAGGTTGATGGGTGATAACTCTTAACTGGTACTGCTGTATTCATATAATGGGTCTGCTTTGTATAAAATAAAAAGATACTGTCTCTTCTTCACTTGTTACAACCGAGAGACAAGCTTTGGTCAGGCACTACAGATGGAGGAACAAGTGAACTCTGGTTTTCCTTTTAGGGGAATGATTGTAGATTCTGACAGTCTGATTGGCCTTCCGTGCCTCGTACTTGCTAACTCACTAGTGCTTCCAAAGACTAAATTTAATAGGTATGACATAAGACAGTTTTAATAACCTTTATGAAATATAAGAGAAAATATCCAAAACAGAAAAATTAAGCTGCTGCCTAAAAAGTAACTGAATTATTAGCTCTTTTGTGATGCCTCTTTTCATCAATATTGAGAGATTGCTAATGTGTATCATTTCGATTGCTAGAATAATGACCAGTATTTTCTACCAGCATTTCAGTTAATGTAGAATATAAGTCTAGCAAAAGTTTGGTCTTTCATTTTTCCAGTTAGAATCACATAAAAGACATTTTGGTTGAGGATAGGTGTTTCATGTTGGGACCTATTAATTCTTTTAATATAGCTTTGGATAATGTTTGCATGTGTCTTACTGGAAAATGAAAGGCTATCAAAGTGTTCATTTAGTAATTGGAGCCACGCAAGAACTGGTGGTTGCTTTATTACCTTCTCTAGTGTTTTCAGTATCATACCTTTGACTGACATCCTTGAAACCAACATGTTGAGTTTTACAATATTGAACGTAGTGACCATGGTAATTTTTCAATGTAAAAGTCAAGGCTTAAGAGCCAGTGCTTTCCTGAGGCCTGCCCTCTCCTGCTATGCCCTTAACCTCCATCACAGGAAACATGACCGCTGCCCTACAGGCAGCTCTGAAAAATCCCCCCATCAACACCAAGAGTCAGGCGGTGAAGGTGAGTCACAGACAACTCCGTGATCTCTGCTGATATCTTAGCATTCTTACCAAGATCCTGGAAGTGTCTTGAAATCAACAAATCTTTTAACTGTTTACTGTGTTTTACATACAAGAGCTCACAATGCAGCTTGATAGGTAAAAATTTACATATGAAAAGTTAGCACTCTGATATTGAGCTATGATAAGAGAGCGTTTTGTATGTTCCATGGAGGCCACTCAGGTTGAAGTTGAGCAAAGGCTTGAAGAATAAACAAAACTTTTACGAAGTAAAGCGATTCTACTTGGTTGCTTTTTAAAAATTTTTCTAAATTATATAAGAATTAAGTGTTTATAGAAAACTAGTAATCATCATCATCCTACTGTCCAGAGATAATTGGTTATTACTTTTTGGTGTTGCTATATATTTATAGAGCTTTTCTATTGGTATTTTTTTTTAATAAAAATGGAGTTTTATAACTGACTTTTTTCTTTTTGCAATGTACATGAATATCTTGGCAATAAGTTTATTTCTATAAGCATCTTTTTTAATGCCTGCATATAGATATGCTGTGGTTTACATATAACTAATCTCCCTTTGTCATATATTTAAAATATTGACCTTTTTTTCTTGTCAGCAGTACTGAAATGAACAATTTTGCATAAATTCTTATTTGTTTCCTTTGAATAAATTCCTAGAAGTGCATTGCTGAGTTTGAGAATGCACTTTTTTTTAAGACTTTTGGTACAAGTGTTATTGCCAAACTGCCCTTCAGCAAAACCTGACTTCCATCCCTGGGCAGCAGTCTTTCAGTGATTCTTAAGAACATTTACTTAGTGTTTAAAATGTGGCCCAGGGCTCTGAACCCATTGTCCATAGGAGCCCTAAGGATCTCTTTATTGAGTATTAGTAACAGTTTGGGCAAATGCATAATAATTATCTAGGCCACAATAAGAGGAAACATTTCTTTGGTTTTTGAAAATGGTGGGGAACGTCTTTGAAATTTCAATTTTACCACCTTCTGCTTTTATGTGGCTGAGTTTTTATCACAGTTTGTGGGTGGAGAATTGTAAGAATATTTTTCTAAATTGGGTAATTGCATAGTCTTTAAACTGAAAACAGCAATAGGAGGTAGAAACATTCTGTAAAACCCTGATCAGTAGGAATGCCGAAGAGATCACTCTTGAATAGGAGAAGTGAACTGTTGGAAGGGTAAATTAAATGTTCTCTTTGCTTGGCTTCATGGGTGAAAAAATAACTTTGCTGTTGGAGCAGCCTTTTATCAAAGAAAAAAAATTATAAATGAAGATCACTGTATCTTATATCTTGACTATAGATATGAAACTTAAAATTTAAGTTTTCTGAACGTATTGTTTTTGAAGGATGGTTCAAGGTAGAACTGCAGCTCATTTTGTCTTCAGATCTTTTTCTGAGTACAAGTAGTAAAACTGAAATGTGGGTTCAATAACATTGGCAAATTAGCACCTCTATCTGTAAGCAAATCCTCTCAGCGCTCCTTCAGATACATCAAGAATCTGACCCCCTCCACTGCTACCATGCTAGCCAAAACCAGCCTGTGTTATTGCCATAACTTCCAAACTGGTCTCCCTCATTCTGCCTTGTCCCCTGCCCCCCACCAGTCCCACCTCAGCTTATTCTCAGCATGGTGGCCAAAGTGATCCTGTTGAAATACAAGTCAGGTTATATCGCCATTGTCCCCACGGTGGCCTGCAGGGCTTACACAGTCTGCCCTCCCACCACCCCTCTGACCCGTCCTACGTCCTACTCTTCCACCGTTATCACTCTGGCCACCGGGGATCTTCTTGCTGTTCCTTGAACACCCGGAATACACACTAACAGCAGTTCTTTCCTGTGACCAACATACTGTTCTCTGATACCCCAAGGATTCTTCTTTCATGTCCTTCAGGTTTTAAATGTCACCGTCTCAGTGTGGCCTTTCTAGAGCAACCACTTGGCACGCATATGTCTAAATGTTCTGTTCTTATCCTCAGGATCGAGCAGGCAGCATCGTCTTGAAGGTGCTCATCTCTTTTAAAGCTAATGATATTGAAAAGGCAGTTCAGTCCCTGGACAAGAACGGTGTGGATCTTCTAATGAAGTATATTTATAAAGGCTTCGAGAGTCCCTCTGACAATAGCAGTGCTGTGTTATTGCAATGGCATGAAAAGGTGAGTTATGAATTATAAATCTCTGGCTGGCTCCTTTATAATAGTGACAATGACAACTCCTCTCATCTGGATAATTACTTTGACTTGTTGGTTATACATCTTTGTCTTTACAAATAAATGTGTGAAAGTGAAAGTTAGATTTTATGCTTACTGCCTTGGTCCTAAGAGATTCTGATTTGCAGCACATTTATTCAGTAATGATTATTGTTCATTTAACATAATCTTGAACTTTGAACTAAATGAAAACCTTGAAAAGAAACTAAAAATCAAGAATTCTTGGACTGTGGCCAAAAGGTAGAAACAACCCAAGTGCCCATGGACAGATGAACAGATAATCCATTTTATGCATACACCACATTTTGTTTATTGGACAACCAAATAAAGGAAATTATGACACATGACACAGCACTGATGAACCCCGAAAACATTACTCAAGGTGAAATAAGCCAGGTACGAAAAGACAAATACTGTGAGATTCCACTTCTATCAAATATCTAGACTAGGCAAATTCAGAGAAACAAAATAGATTAGAGGTTACCAGGGACTGGGGAGGAGGGAGAATAGAGTTACTGCTTAATGGGAACAGCATTTCTTTTTAGGGTGATGAAAAAGTATTGGAAATAGACAGTGGTGGTGACTGTAGAATCCTGGGAATGTAATGAATGCTACTGAATTTTACACTTACGGATGGTTAACGTAGCAAAGTGTATGTTACATATGTTACACAATTTAAAAAACTCACAGGTGGGATGAAGAATTCCTGTATTTTTTTATGCATTTCATTCTGCAGATAGTACACTGTCCATTAAAAAAATAGTTAAGGGTAATTTTTAGCTTTAGCTTAAAAGTTGGTAAGGTAATTTTTAACACCCAACACTTAGGTAATATTAATATTAATGTAAGCAGTGTAACGTTTAAATAGAACAAACCACAGAGAAGGGGTATATTCTCTAATATCTTACAATTCCCGGCACTCAGGTTTTCAGAAGCTGTTGTGTGTGTCTGAGTGAAAGCACATTCGGAAATAAGAATAGGTAGTAAAACTTGTCGATTAGTCTTGGTCAAGTCACTTGGTCTCTCATGCACTGTCAAATAAAGAGAACTAACATTTATAGACACGGTAACCATACCTCCCGTTTGCCCCAGTTTATGCCTGTTTTCCCAACATAATTATGAATAGTTCCCTTTCACTCCCCAGTGTCCCACTTGGAGAATAACGTACATGGTCATCCTCTTCAGGAACACGTTCCATTTGCCAGCCACTGTACCGTTAGTTTATGTTTCATTCACTCCTTAAAACAGCGCCGTAAGGTATAAAACATCTTTATCATCCTCAATTTAGACGTGAAGAGCCAGCTTAAAAACCTAAGCAACCTAGCTCCTGTCTAGTCTCAGGATCATAGTAGACCTTGATGGAGCACTTACTGTATTCCAAGCACCTTGTAAAGATTAACTCATTTAACCCTCGTAAAAATACTAGGAGGGAGAGCTTGCTATTATTTGCCTTTTGGTGGGTGGGGAAGCAAACTGAGGCTCATATTAAGTTTTCGTTGCTTCCTAACATCACTCACTGGTTTTTGCCAATCTGTCTCCTAAACGCTTCTCCAACCATCTACTCAGATACACCTCTAATGCAACTCTTCACAGCGTCTCTCCCAGTCTGTTGCCGTAGCTTCCTTAACAGGCCTCCGGCTACCAATTTCACCTCCCTCAAATCTCTTCTCCACCCGGTCGCCAGAGTTTCCTCTCGAAAACCCAGATCTACCCTGTCAGTCACCTGCAGAATAAAGCCCGAGTTCCCAGGTCCAGCCACTCCTCTTCATGTTCTTCTCCCTGTGCTCCAGCAGCGAGCACAGTAGTATTGCTTCCCAGAACACCCCATACTGTTTCACACCTGTGTACTTCTGCTCGTGATTTTCTCTACCTCAGTGGCTCCTTACACCCCAGTGCACACTTGTGTGTACAGAATTATACTATATTATAGTATAGTAACGATCTCTACATGTCTGTCCCTTCCCAATAGACCAGAAGATGCTATATCCCTAGCATCTAGCATAGTACCCAGTACATAAAAGTATTCAGTAAGTAAACCAGAGCTTCAAATTCCTGATGCTTAGTCATGACTTCCAGTTTTTTAAGGTAAAGTCAAAATAAAAGTTCCTAAGTTCTTAGCTATTGAATAATATATTCTTAGCTTTGGAGAATAAAAAGAATCTGACAAACTGGCTAATCTAAAGGAACTTAGGACAGTTGATCTCGGTTTCGATTTCTTCCTGCCCGTGCTAAGAAGAGAATAAAGTGAATATCCTAAATCTATACTTGAGCACCTGTTTTAGGCAAGAACATGCTGTAAACCTTTAAGAACATACTGTTATTCGAAAACAACATACTAGAATGTAAACTAGTATCTTACTAGCGTGTAGGTACATAAGGGTAGGGACTGTATCCCCCCCAGTACCAAGAACAGTGCCTGGGACATGACAGGTGTTCAAGAAGTATTTATGAAAATTAAAGAATTCAAAATCAGTAGCTGCACACATTCCTTCTTAAAGAAAAATGTTCTACTTGGTATGAGGACTGACCCTTTATGATTCTGTCAACATTTACGTTTTGGTCTGTTTTTAGGCACTTGCTGCCGGAGGAGTGGGGTCCATTGTTCGAGTGCTGACTGCAAGGAAAACTGTGTAGCCCAGCAGGGTCTGGGTCTCTCCTCTGGGTGTGGGAGTTGCTGGTACAAAGACCAAAACAACCAAATGCCACCGCTGCCCTTGGGGGTAGCATCTGTTTCTCTCAGCTTTGCCTTCTTGCTTCCTTTTTCATATCTGTAAAGAAGGAGATTACATATCAATTTTCCTTTCATGAAAATTGGGATAATATAGAGGAAACGTTTCAACAGGAGTGTTTCACGCTCTCAAAACTATTATGGTGATGTGTATACCTGTCTGTATATAATATAATTTGCCTTCAAGTTTAAGTGTGCAATTCTAACCCCTATTGGCTGGTGGGGTTTTTTTTGTTTTGTTTGCATTTTTGTTTTTTTGAGGTGTTCTGTTTTGTTTTTGACTAATAGTGAAAAATTTGATCTGAATTTGAGGCCAGTTTCCTAACTCATTGCTAGCCAGGAAATGTTCTTTACAAAAAATACCTTTGAGAAACTGGCAGCTATTAACATTGCAAAACTGGACCATAATTCCCGTATTTAAGCAAAATGTGTTTCTGGAACAGGTGGTGGGTGAACAGCACGAGCGAGTTCCACCTTTGTTTCTGCTTACCTCCAGATCATGTGAGCTTAAGTATGCCTCTTCCTCTCTGCACCCAGTAATCATGGCCTCTCGATTTCTCTGTGGTCTCCAGGGTCCAGAGCAAGAAGTCTTGCTCTACAAAAATGTATCTATGAAATGCCAGAGCCTGTTTGGCCTGAGCATAAAACTTTGTTCTAATAATATGACCCTATTTGGGGAAACTACTCCAAATCAGAAAAGACATGAAAACTTTGATGAAGTTCAAACTCTGGGCAGCCTGTGAATGAAATGCTGATTTATTTAGAACTCTAATAGCTGCCTTAGACATGATGAGGTGTATAACTGGTATTTGATATACCCTATAAATGTCTTCAGTGTTCTTCAGGGTAAATAGGATCTTAAAAGCTTTGGTTCAGATCCAGACATCTACACATTCTGTATTTTAGCTTAGTGGTTCTTCAAAAAGGAAAATGCCGCATAGCAAAAAGTGTTTACTTGTTGGACAAACCAAATGGGTTCTCAAAAAATGACCGGTGCTTATAAAAAGTTATTATTCAGTGGCTCCAAAACAAACCACCCAAATGCATATGACCAAGAGGGAAATCAGCCTGTGTTTCGTATTTACATTGGGCGCCAGTTTCATAATCACTGTCTTATGTGAAAACTGGTGGGGAAATTCTATAACCTCTTTGCTCTTTTTGATACCTGCTTTTTGTTTTGTAAAAATGATAAAGTTCAGAAAATAAAATGTCAGTGTTGAATAATTTATTTTTCTAACTCCTATTTTAACACTTATGAATGTGTGATTACTTACGAGGGAAGATTTCCTGTTTTACCAGAAGGTTGTGCTCTTGACAGGAAGTAATTTGGTACAGGTTTCTAAAACTACTTTATTCAAATACAAAGTAGTGGAGAAAAGGAGACAGTCGTCGATGATCTCAGAGCACCACCAGAGCCTTTGGAATGATTCCTCGCCCTCTGGATGCTCGCTGAGCACCTGGAGTATCTGCCCACAGACCCAAACCAGAGTGTGCAGCGCTCATTTCTTACCAGCTTCTGAGCCCTTTCTCGCACCCCTGCCCCTGACTAGACGCCTGCTCTAAAGGTTGAGAAACTCAACAGGAGGCGCGCCTGCGTGGCTCAGTGGGTTGAGCATCTGACTTCGGCTCAGGTCATGATCTCACAGCTCCTGTGTTCGAGCCTCCCATCAGGCTCTGTGCTGACGGCTCAGAGCCTGGAGCTGCTTCAGATTCTGGGTCTGCCTCTCTGCCCCTGCCCCACTCACGCTCTGTCTCTCTCTCTCTCTCAAAAAGAAACATTTTTTTTTTAAAGGCAATTCATAGGGCTGAGTTAAGAGAAGTTAAATAATAGGTAAAGTAGGCACAGCATAACTGTACAAACTTCAGATGAAAACAAGTGATACTGCAATACTTTTTTGTAAAATCCTTAACATCATTTTCATGACTATAGTGTTAGAGAAAATTCTGGAGCTCCATATTTTATAGTCACAAAGGTGGGTGTGTTCAAAGACTGCCAGCCTATCAGCTTTGCTCAGAAAGACAGTAAATATATTTAACAATTAATACAGCATAGGGACTAAATCAGAATGGACTCCAGCTGGAAACAACCGTCTCCATGGAGTCCTCTCAGCTGAATGTCAGCCTAGGGCACAGCATGATGCAGGGCCGCCGTGGTGGAAAGGGGATAGGATGAATTGTAAAAGATACAAATGCTAAGGGGCACTTTGGGCACAAGAGTAGTTCTTTACCTTCCATTCTCTTCTACTTGAATCTCAGTGGTTTTATGGTCTCATTTGAGCCATTTTTCTTCGTTTTGCTTTTGCCATTTTTTAAAGGGGGAAAAATGGCGCACACACACACCCTTTTTGGGTCATTTGGTAACAGCACCATTTAGGTAACAAGTCTTAAGGAAACTCAGTAACATGCAATCAGTCCATAGATGATACAAATTCACACGTTTATAAGCATTTACTGTGTTCCCAAGGATCATGAAAGACATAATAGAAGAATAATACATAGTAACTAACATAAAAAACAGGTATGAATAATTTTACCCTCCCAAGTATTTTTGAACATTTCTTCAAATGCCAGTTGTGTTTAGAGCATTTCAAAGTAGTCTATTAACATGGAAACATAAATAATCCTGCCTAGGTCCATGTGGCCCAGTTACATGGGCTTATAAAATATATGAATTCCAACACCAATAGATATAACACAAATAGCAGGAAGCCAATGACACAGCACCCCCAGCATGTGGTAGTACCACGGCTTTTAGTTTCCAACGCAAGAGTTGGTTGGAGTGAGAGTAAGTGGACTAAGACACAAAAGCCACCCTTGACTGAGTACTTGCTATGTGTCAGTCCCCTTCTATGTTTTATCTTCAGAACCAAAGCTTAGAGATACATATGAGATCACATGGTTTATAAGTGCCAGAACTCGAATTCCAACTCCTATCTGCCTGAGGCCAAGGTTATACCACACTATTTTCTCAAGTCCGATGTTTGGCGAACACAGACGTCTCCAGGACAAATGAGGATTGGGGTTTTCTCTAGAAATCTTAAACCTTCGTGTGTGGGGGCTACTGTCGGAGGTAAAATCCACTCAAGAGCCCTTCAGGAGGTGAAAGTCGACAGGTGCCCAAGCCAGAAGCGGATTTGGAGAGATGCTACAACGACAAAGGACCTACTTGGAAGCACACAGAACATAGTTATTTTTTCGCTGTGAATTTTGCTTGCCTTTTGATGATTTTTAAAGTTGTGAGGTTAGAGGTCAACACCCATAACACATAACTCCACTAGAAAAAAGTGGCTGAGGGCTTCTCAAAGCATGTGGGTGCTCTTGTGCCTTGCTCTTTGTGCAATATTTTTAATATGTTCTTGGTTTCCCACGTTTCCACAGATGATGTATTTTAACTAACAAACTTCTAATTCGTTTTGTCATAATTCCATTTAGCAAGAACCAGAACCTCAATCTCTCATTTCATTAGCCAAGCTCACTAGATTATTGGTCATAACTGAACATTATTTGCTTAATTGAATTCGTAAGAATCACTTTGGTCACCTCCACTGTAATTAGCCGGTGCCCCATTTTGGAGGTACCCCAAATTGTCAGCTTATCTCAGACCACGATCCTGGAGTGTGTTCATTCTGGGTTCAAAGCCAATTGAGGATTAGAGTTTTTGCAGGAGAAATCCTAGGATGTGGGACATCTCTAAGATAACTCTGGGCTTGAGGGAATCAGAATCAAAAACAAACAAACAAACAAAAACAGGCACGCGGATCAGGAAACGAGGCACCACTCACCAGGCATGACCCTAACAACGGCTGTGTTTTTTGTGCATAGCGCCACCACACATTGGCCAACCTCCAGCAGGATAGGTATGGGCCTGGATACATTCTAACCCGCCGTTGTCTATGCCTGCCTTCCCCCTGTTTACATTTTTCTTGTCTGCTTTCCTTTCCCTAATTATTTCCTTCTGTCTTCAGTCCCTGCGGCCACTGCCTTCCTTCCCTGTCCTCTCTCTACTCCTCCTGCCACATTTCCTCATGCCCAGGCACTCAGAGTCATTTCTACTGATTAAATATGTGGTGCTCAGGCAGATCAGTTCAAGTAATGCCCTCCTACAATTCACCACCTACCCCAAATGTTTAGATCGCTTCTTCCTAAACTGCAGAAATGCCGGGTTTTATTTCCGTAGGTTGCTTTGGACAGCAATTGAGCAAATAACCCACAATCTCACAATTTCAGACCAAGTTTTAAATACACTTTTTCTTTTAGATTTACAAATAACTTCACCTTAGAGACAAAAAAAAAAAAAAAAAAAAAAAAATACAAAGGAGCACCAAAGTGACTGGGAATGGGAAGATGAGCCCAATGAAGAAATCGAATTGGCCCTGAACATTTTAGAAAGGGGTGCTCTACAACATGGCTTCTTCTATCCATAGTCCTTCCATGGGCCTTCCCCCCACCCCATCTCCACCTCGGCCCAGTATCACCGATCGAATATGTGAAAACCTCAGTTTCAAAACGTTCTGTGCACTACCATGCACGTGCCTCTTGGACCCGTCTGGGACACCCAGAGGTACAGCATAGCATCTGCCTCAAGGTGGCGCTGCTTCCCCACGGTGATGAGCCAACCACAGGCAACAGGGGACGCCGCTTCCACTCACATTTGTTTTATTTCATCATTTATATTGCTTGGATGTTTAAATAATAAGCGTAAATTATCTGTGTTTACATCTTCTTAGGAAGCAATTCCCTAAAGGCTGTACATATGAAAGACAAATTGAAGAGTATACGACTCACCTGAATCCCACCGCCCAGCGTTCTAAGACCCACGGTTTTCAGCCCAACATGAACTTTCTGCCAGACTGTGCAACCTCTCTGAAGTCATAGCTGAGCCTTAGTCTTCTCAATCCCGCGACATAGTCAATGCTCACCAATTATATCTATTGGTTGTATCATATTGACTGAGTGGAATCGTCTAAGATATCCTGAGGTATATGCACAGGTCCTAGGGTGCCTGGATAGGAGAACATATTAGAAGCACAAACTGAGAACCATGCAAAGAGTTCAGTAATCCTCCTTGGATTCAAGTAGCCTTTGAATTGAATCACAAATTCAATGTGGACATTTAGGCAGAAAATGTATCAGCCTTAAGCAGAAATTAGGCCATGATGCGTAGCTTGTGTGGCCTTTTTTGTCTGCGGTTTTGCAAAAGTCACCAGAGACAGTAGCTGAGAGTCAGAATTCCAGCTCAGCATCTGGCTGGCAGTGGCATCTAGGGAATTTACATGCAACAGCTTTCATTATTCTGTGGTATCACCCCTAAGGTCAGAGCTGCGCCCCAATCCTTTTTCTTTTCTTCCTTCAATGTAAAAATCATTAAATAGTATTCATTAACTTACACCACCTCTCTTGACTCTATTTATACTTAGAATTTTCTAATGTCAAGTCTTAGGGTAACGAATGCCATAAATGGACAATATCACTGAATAAAATTGTGCTTCCTTTTGTTTATCCAAAAACTGAACCAAGATTGCAGAAGTGCCTCTAAGATTCTCTTCAATTTTGATGATTGAGTATTCATTGACCTAGGATTTTGTAATTTTATTGATTTTCATTTTTATCCATTTATTTTCAAATAAGTAATTTGTTCATATGGTTCAATATTCGAAAGGCAAAAAAGATGCACTATAGTTATTTTTCCTCCTACCCCAGATCCCCTTTCATAAATCAACCAATATTATGAAATTCTTGGACATCCTTCCAGATATAGTGTATGCAGTTACAAGCAAATACCTGTATACTCTTTCTCCCTTTGTTCACATAAATACTAGCATAGTATACATAACGTTCTGTGCCTTGCTTTTTCATTACAGTATATTTTGTCAATAATTTCCTATCAGTACATAAAGAACTTCCTCATTTTTTTGTGATTGCATAATAGTCTACTGTATAAATACATGTATCACGAGTTACCTAACCATTTCACTATTGATTTCGGTGGTTTCTGGTCTTTTGCAGTTACAAATGCTACAGTGAATATCATTGTACACACCAAAAGCCATTTCACATACGGTCAGGCCTATTTATAGATAATCCCTAAAAGTGGCATTTGTAGTTCAAAAGATGTGCATTTATAATTTTGATAGATATTGGAGGCTAGACTGCCTTCCTTACAAGTCCTATCCCTTACACTTCCTCTGGCGATGTAGGAGAATGCCTGTTTTTCTACCTCTTTACCTT